CGTTTTATTTCTACACAAATACAAAAATGTTACCAAATAAAAGTCCATACTTTTCACAACGATACTCAAAATTTTATATATATGCATACTAATTTCTGACATTTATATTAATTTAAAAACTAACAAAGATGCATATTTAATTTTTATAAATGATATAAGGGAAATTGGCTAAAATAACCTAAAAAAATTATATTTCACTAACTAACTAAATCATCCTAATCTAATGGCTCCTATTTTTTCATATCATACTATTTTCATTAGATTGCAAATGTAATTTTTTTTTGGTTATTGCTGCAAATCACCCATGATATAATCGTGTTATTAAATACCAAAAATAACATAATTCGATTAAAAACAAATTATACCCGCACATGGTGCGGGATGATCACCTAGTTATAATTATTTTACATTAAATTATGGGTTAATATTACTTTTGGAATCAATAATTACGAAAATAACGTATCCAAAACTATAATTAAGTATCTAACAGAGATAATTAAAAATATGAGGAAATTGCCCTTACAACTATAATTAAGATAAATATATATAAAAAATTCCTAAGAATCTTCTCTTGATTTAATCCCTGAAAAATTGCTCCTGCGATTTTATTCTTACCAAAAATAGATGTTTGTTTTGCAAAACTGCCATAGAAAAAAAAAATAGATCAGAAGATGACAAAAAAACAAATATACTGTAACAGTTAACTATTTAATAACATAGTTAACTATTTTTGAAACATCTCATAACATAGTTAACTACAACACATTATTTGTAACTATCTAAGATATAATTAACTATTTTAAGAGCATAGTTAACTGCACTACTGATTTCAGGACATAGTTAACTATTTTAATAGTATAGTTAACTGCACAACTGATTTCAAGACATAGTTGACTACATGAAAATGTTGTTGTAATAGTTATCTATTTAAAAAAACATTGTTAACTAGTTCAAACGTAGTTATTAACATACATAGTTGACTATTATTAGAAACATAGTTGTCTATTATAATGAAAAAAACATACATAGTAAACTATTATGAAAAACATAGTTACCTTTTATACATAGTTAACTTTGTCGATCTTCAGCGATAACTCAATTTGACCAAGAGATGAATGACGGTGAAAAAATTAATGGAAGAGAAGAAAAACACCATCTTCATCCACAATTAAAGATTTTGATCCATGAAAATGAGTTAAGACAAGTAACTAAGAGAGAAGAATAACCAAATTGTAAAATC